CCCACACTGCAAACCCTGAGATGAGCTTCAAACATTCTGTCCTGCCCCCCACCCTCAGCACGGAGTCCCCTCCCCACGGAATCACAAAGTAAAAGGAAGCTCCAGGCCTCAGCCCTCTCTGAGCTAAGTGTGAACACACCCACTGGCCGGACTCATTGTTTCAGCATAGGAATCCTCTCTCCAATAACCTATAGCTCCAGCCCATGGAAGAGGGGCCTTTGATTACTTGAAGGAAGAAGTCTAAGGATCAAGGACCTCATTTGGCTCTCAGCTCTGATCTGAAAAGAGTTGAGAAATGTCTGGAAAATCACTGACCTATTGGCACAATATTCCATGGAAACACAAATGATACCAAGGATGTATTGACCAACATTTGTGCCTGCGCAACTTAAGATTCTTCACCGGGCACAGTGAACAGAATGTTTGAACCTGAGGAGTGTCCTGAAACATGAAGGGTGTGTGATCCCCAAACAAGAGGGAGGGACTTAGGAGTGGAAACATCCTCACACTTCTGTCTTGCTCTTTCACCTCCTTCGTCTTTCTCTGTCCACTTTGCTTTTTCTCCCTCTTCTAGGCCTTTCCATTTCCCTCTTCTTTGTCCCAACACACAGGGCCCTAGGGAAACACAGGCAGTTCCATTTGCTCCCTCCTCTGCCCTTTCCTCCTAGTAGCTTCCCTTTCCTCCTCTCAATTTGTTCCTCATTGGCTCCCATCCACACCTTAACGGCCACACCCTTACGCTGCAGAGTCTCCCTCCTTAAGAAGAGGGTGGAGTTCCTTTCCCAGGACCTGCTCAGTTTCTCCCTGAGCCTGATTGGGTGCCTGGCTGCTCTCAGTCTTAACAGGCTTAGGTAGCCTGCCCCTCCTCATTTGAGCTGGCTTCTTTGTGTTTTATTAATCAAATCTCTTCCTTTTTACCCCAGAGCTGAGTGAGTGCTCATTGCTATTAGATGATGAAGCTGGAAAACCCCATGCCTAAGAAATCTCCGAGTGGATGAAGCAGAAGAAACTACCTGGGTCCTCGATCCTCTAAAATGCTTGCTTCAATGCAACAAGTTGCCTCGTTTCACTTTTCTACCAATTTTTATGGATTAAACTAGCTATGAGCATGAGCCAAGGATTTCTCAAGATAGGAATGTTAGGACCTTGGGACAATAAAATTTCAGAGCTACACAGGCCTTGGGAACCCCCAAGTTTATTGAGAAGACAAGTGACCTAACCATGTTCCCACAGCAAAGTCAGGACAGGACCACAGCCCCTTCGTCTTCCTGTTCAATGTTTGCATCTACTCCAGGATTTCTGCCACCAGTTTCAACCTATGCCTAAAGGGTTCTCAATTTCACCTTCCCCGTTGGAAGACAGAATTCATGAAATAGGCTCAGAAAACACAAAAACTGCCACACCCACATAAGGCCACCGGCATTAGAGGCTGAGGAGTCCATTTTAGTTCCAGGAAAACACCATTTCCACAACAGGAAAGAAAATGTTGATCCAAATATTTTGTTAAAAGGGAAGAGAAACAGCAACATCCATGAGGATTTGTAGTTTTATCTTTATGCTTCCTATCAGTGAATCTTCCAATTAAATTGAGAGCAATGACTTTACCTAGCTAGCGCCAGGGACCGAAGGGTTACCAAGTATGATCTTGAGACATTGTGTTTGGGGTGGGGTGCTGGGAATTCATTAAACTACTAATCAGAACCATATTTGGCTCCCTTGATCACTAAATAGAAATCAGAGTCATCTGGGCAGAACTGGGAAGAGGATTGGAAATGGGAAGTTCCTGGTCAGAAGATCCCAGTCCTGTACTGGTTAAGGATGATGAGCTCCCTCAATGGATTGACATCCAGATCACCTGCCAGCAATTAGACCCAGGTTACACCGATTGGCAGCCTGTTCCCATAGTTACCATGACAGGTGGTAACAGTGTAAAGGCATGGGCTACAGGAACTCTGGACCAAGTTAAGGGACAACCCCCACATGGCCAAGTTAGAAGCCTCTGTGTCTGGTATTAAATTGATTTAACCATGACCTTGTGGGGAGCAATTGGGTGTGTCCCCCTGAGTATGTATATCTGAGAGTCGCAAATGTCTCTGAGCTTTTGTATATACAGGTGGTAAGTTAAGGAACCATATTCATGTGGAAAATGAAATACCTCGGACTCAAATCATATGGCTATGCTTTACTACATGCATAGTTTCAACAATTCAAAATGTTTCCTGCTCCTTTGCTGAGTCTCAGGCAATAATATTCATAATAATCAAGTTTGATCCATTAGCAATTAAGTAAGGGTTAAATGTTTAGAGGGTAATATGCATTGGGTGGAGCAGCAACAACAAAAATGGAATACATTCTGGGTCACTTAAGGACAGCAGAGCTTGGAACAAAGAATAGAAGTTCTAGAAACCCAATTTCGCTGGATTTAAGAAACTCTAATCATTAGAGCTGTCCAGCGAAGGGGGGTGGGCATGGATGTGCACTCTGAGATACCGAGCCTCCCACCCCCACCCCAAAATGTTAAAGAAATGTCAAATGGCCATCTGTCCAGGGTGGTGTAAAAATAAGATTTCTGCATATTGTAGGAGAATGGAAAAGTGGATCTTCAAGATCCCTCCCAAACTGAGAACAAAATTAAGGATGGAATATAACTAAATTTGTCCTGTGCCCTTTTCTCTGGCCATTTTTTCAGATGTGTTCCCCATCAGGCCCTGATGAGCCTATAAAAAGCTGTTTTCTTCTTCCTGCGGGACCCATTGATCTCAGTGGTTCGGCATGAACCAAAACCCACAGAGCCAGCCAGACCAAGCCAAGAAGGTCTTCATCTCCAGCACAGCCTTGGTGAAGCCCATTCGGTAACCAACCCCCCCGCCCCCCATGTCTGCATGTCTCCCTGGGAACTGCATGGGCCCACGCTGGTCTCAGGAGGGAAGTGGGAAGGGTTGGGAAAGCCACAGTGAGTCTTTCCAGTGGTCTGTGGAAGGATGTCCTTCCTTCCTCAGAGGTCTGCCCTGAACTCCTGGGAGGTAGCCAGCGTCTGTTCTGAGATGTGATCTGCCCTGGGTTGGTCCTTGACGGCATTCTGACAACTCCCAGGACAGTTTAGTGCCCTCAAAGCACTAATGTACAGTCTGGGGGGTCCTCTGACCAGGACGCTAGACCGGATGTCCTGCAGCCCTCCAGACAGCGCTCCGCCCCCGCCCCATTCTTCAGAGTCTGGGGTGGAATTCGATCCTCCTCTGAGGGTGAGAGGCAGCAGGGGAGGAGAATATAACCCTCACAGTTCAGCCTTGTCAAGGACTTCCAGCTGCGATCTAGAAAAACTGCCTTCGCTAGGACTCTCACTACTTCTTGGAGGAAGAGGGGAAAGCGGGAATCAGAATTGCTTTTTTTTCCCAGTTGCCCTCAAAGCCCAGGAAATAACACGCAGCCTATTATCTCATTTATAAAACTACAGTATACCATCAAATGGGGCACAAACAATGCAATCCTTGATGGTTTACACCCAGAATTTTCCGTATTTTCTATTTGCTATTAGCTTATTAGTTTAACCCGTGCAACACGAAAAGATGTGTACTAACGTCATAGAATACCATTACTATCAACTTAATAATGGCTTTCCTAATCCACATCAGGTAATCTGGAAATAAAAAACCTTTGAAGCAAGTGTGGGAGTTCCCTGCATCTCGAAAAGTTGCCCTTGCATTTACTTAATCATCCCCCTGAGGGCAGTTTTCCCAGAAGCGCTGCCTGTACAATGTACACAGGCTGATTACATTTAAACCTTCCCTTCCAACGGACTGCGTTTCTAAAGGAAAAGTCTAATTTCACCAGACAAGCTGAATCCTGTCATTTTCGTCCTCTTGTTTATGTGTGTGTGGTGCAGGGGGGGGGGGGGGTTGGAATGCACCCGTAACTATGTTGAAATAGGCCACACCTCAACCAAAATGCTAACCTAAAAAAAAAGCAAACAGAAAGCACCTACTCCTTCCTTTCTCCAGATTCACTGCGTGATTAAGCACGAGTGTTTGCATCTGTGCAACCACAACTTGGACGCGTGAGACGATACACGTCCCCGAACAATGACTGCCTTCCATTTAGAAAAATTCCACATCCACCTAAAACACATTTTTTTAAATCACTTCTGATTTCTCAACTGTTCCCTCAGCACTAAAAGCCAGCTATTTCTGGGGTGGAAGCACAAAGCCATTTAACATTTCTTACAGAAACAAGTGAAGTTCCCCTGCCCCACCCTCTCCCCCAATTCCAGTTTCCCTCCTTTCTCTCCCATCCTGCACATCTGGCCAAGGAGGGAAGGAGGTCGGGCTCCAGATTCTATTAAGTGAACCCCTCCCGGAGTCTTATTTGAAAAAAGCATTTGCTTCTCTCTCTCTCTCTCTCTCTCTCTCTCTCTCTCTCTCTAACGGTTTTCTTTAAACAAAACCCACCTCTCTTTCCCAACCTGTGGGGAGAAAAAAAACACTTCAATTCAAAAAGAAGTGAATGAACAAGCAAGAAAGGCAGTAGTGAAAGCCACTGCAAAAATAAACCGAAGAACAGCCCTCTATCCACCGTCACCCCCAAAAGACCAGCAAACAACCAACCAAGCAGACACAATTCAAGTCCTGAAGCAATTTTTGAATCAAAATGGAGGAATGGAAAACATCTGGCAAGCGCCGCCTGTCATTTCAAAGGTTTGTGGTGTTTCCTCCATAAAGACTGTCCTATCCAGGTGTGTTCCAAAGTCCCTGCTCCCTTCACATCTTCAGAGCAAGCACCCGGGCACTGCAAGATCATTACAGCCCAGTCCTCCGAACCTTATGGAAAAAGTTGTCTCAGTATCCACTTGTAGCCAAAAGTTTCAGAGATTCAGTTCAAGGAATCACAGAAATATTGAAAAGGGAAAAAAGAAAAAGAAAAACTTAGGTGAGGTCAGAGAAAGAGAGCAGTGGAAAGGAGAGAGAATTCTCCGAGTTTCCCCACAGTGTTGGGAGCTGACCTACCTGAGGGTCCCGGCGAAGGAGGTGCCTGGAGTGGCAGGAGCTGGCAGCTGCCCGGTCTGCTCTTCTGGAGGTTTGTGACCGCAGTGAGGGGAGGGACCTGCCTCCCGAGGTTATAAGTTTCCTGCGCTGGTGTGCTGGGGTGTGTGATGGGCGGTTTCTTTTCCCTGTGTTTTAAAGGAGTTTCTATGAATCAGTCTGGTTTTAAAAAAAAAAAAAAGATTTGTTGGTAAGCTACGCCCTTCTAGGTTGGCAGGCTGTCAAGAGAGGTTGGGAGTGAGCCATCAATTCAAAGAAGCCTGTTTAGGCTCCCTCTGACTCAGACACACAGACCACAGTGGAAAAAGGAGTGACATTGCTTCAAATGAGTAATAGGAGTCACACAAATAGATCTGTTTACCGAAGCCCATTCCTCGTTACCAAAAAGAAGACTTGGTTACCAAGGGGATAAGGCAGAACACAAGTTATGTGCCCAAACTTCTTCTGGGAAGGGGGAGGGAAAGGGACAGTGTCCTGCCCATTGAAACCCTATTTGATCGACCGAGGAGAGTCCCATTCTCTCTCTCCCTCATCAAATGCATCAGCTGCTGTTCACGATCAAGAATGATCAGATTTCTTTCTTATTTACTTCCCTGCCTGACTCAGGTGCACTGTCCTGTAAGGTGAGGCCCTGGAGGCCGAAGGGCACATGCCAAGAGCCCAGGTAAAGCTGCCTCTGAATGACGGCGCACTGGTCGGGCAGAAACTCATGTATCCTTGCGCTCTGTGAATGCCCATGCCTACTCCACACACAGTCGGGTGGAAGTGGCTGAGAACTTTGCTCTGTGATCTCCATGCACTAATCATGTGGACCTTGCTCTACAATTCGCTTTCCTGTGCTCGGCCGGAGCATAATTGGCACAACCCTCCTGCACCACTCCACCCTCACTCAGCACTGGAGCCAGGAGGGGCCGGAGGAGTCATCTAATCTCAGCCAAGGCATTCCACTGGAAAAGACAGCCCCGATGCCTGAGTTCAAGCCCTGCTCTCCCCCTTATTGTCTGTGCGACCATGGGCAAATCAACCTCTGCGTGCCTCAGTTTCCTTGCGTATAAAATAGGGGTAGAAGGTTCCTATCTCACAGAATTATGGTGAGAAACACACAGAGAGCTTATAGCAATGCTTGGCACATAGTAAGCACTCAATCAGTGTTAACTATAATGATTATTGTGCTGAAGAAGAAACTCAGGCCCAGAGAGGTAAAGTGACTGATCCAAGGAGACACAGTTAATTAGCAGTAGCAGCTTGGTTCCAAGTTTGTCATATCTAAGCAACTTTATTTCTATTATTCAATTCAAATTATTCCTGTGGAGTTATTTATTTGTTCATTCATTCAACCAACATCTGCAGGTCATGACATCCTAGGAACTGTCAGAGCATTGGGTCACAGATGTGAGAAAGATTCCTGTGTGTACTCTTGGAACTTAGATGCCATAAAAAAAAATCAAAAACAGACTGGTGGCTATTCACCTAATATTGATACAATTAGGTGGTAAAATTCTAGGTGCATTTTTGTTTCTTCTGTGTCATAGTTTCCAAATCCTCTGCAATGAACCTATACAACTTTGGTTTTTTAGGGAAAAAAAATGTTAATGGAAAGGAGAGAATATTTTCTGAAGTAGATGATGGGGAAAACACCACACACACACACACACACACACACACACACACACACACACACACACTGATTTGATGCCACAACTTCCCAAGTCCAAGAACTGAATTCTGTCCCTGTCAGGATGAGACAGGATAGATTTTTCATTAAAAACTGATGATGTGGCAGCAGATGGCTTCAGTTTCTCCCATCTTTCCTCACCCGCCTCCCCCATCACTTGTTTGATAATAAAAAATGCCTGTTTGAGAGGAGCCACTCCCAGCAATAGGTTGGTCCCTGTGATCTCTGAGCAGCCTAACCCTCGGGGAGGGCAGGATGGTGAGGCCCAGGAACCCTCTTGGGCTATAAAGAACAGAATGACACACATTCTCTCGGAGCAGCATTCTACCACTCCCCCTGGCCTTCTCCCACCCTTCCGTTTGCCTTTCACCCCCAAGGCCTTCTGCCAGTGTCAGACTCTCTTCCCACTGCCTGGCAATGGGGTGAGCCAGTGATCTGCCCTCTTGCATATGGTTTCTCACCATAATTTTAAGGGAGTAGATAACATAGTCTTCCTAATGGACCTAATAAGTCTCTCCTTCCATGTACATTTGGAGATGTAGGGTTTGGAAAGAAAATGTTAAATGCTTTGGCTCTTAACACACACACACACACACACACACACACTCACACACATAGCACATAAAGCTAAATTGTGTAAACATTTTTTAAAAAATAAATGCCAGTCCAGGATCTCTAAAGAATCATAATTAACCCTTGAAATGGTTAATTATGAGCTCATTTTATAAAGCAAAGTTATCAAGTCTGAGGAGGAAACTGGACCTGTTCTGGCTGAGGCTCTGGTCCATTGTGCCTCTAGACGGGATTAAAGCAGTAAGACTGTTTCTTTCCGTGGCTGTGAGCTGGACAATTTTAAGTCTGCGGACAGACAGCGAAGGGTTCAGGGTCTAAAACCGCATTGGGGTTGGAGAATGCAGCTCTGTCTGGTGTCTTCTCAGTCCATTCAAACAAGTAGGACTCATCTGCCTTCCTGCTATGCTCCCGTTCCCCTCCTTGGGAAAGTGGATTAGACACATTCACTTTCCACACGAGTAAAGAACTGGGCAAAGTTTCATCTGACCCCAATAAAGCCATATATTCTTGGGAAGGAATGTCCCTTCTTGCCCAGTGCCACAGTGCCGCTCAGACACGGCAATATTTGCCCCTCCTTCTGAAGCAATAAGAATCAATTCCTGGCGTGGTGCCATCTGGGGCAGATTTTCAAGTATGAACTGGTGTAAATGCTTTCAGTGAATGTAGGAATCAAGGGCTTTTAACGACTAGATATAAGGAGAACTCTCCTAAGGAAGGTCTGCCCCGCCACGCCCCCCGCCCCCCAGTGGCCCCTAGGAAAGAAAACTAAGAAGAGCTTGAATTGTTTTTGCTCAAACTCAATTAGCCAAAAAGAATCTCAAACCTGCTCCCCAAAGCTGTGATATGTGCCGGGAATGTCAATGTTCATATTAGCAACCACTGCTTGAGCGGTAAATCGATTAAAAATGATAAATAGCATTTTTCCAAATCTAATGAATATGTGCTTCTTGCCACTCCTGTTTGAAATTTGAGAACTTACCAGAAATTTCATCTTTCTTCCTGTCACCTCTTTCTGCTATGCACTTCTCTTTATTTCTCCCACCGGCTGTTTCTTCCTGTTTTATTGTTTGCTTTCTTAAAATCCTTTCAGCAAGATGTGATTTTAATGTAATTTTACAAAATGAGAAGTCTCTAAAAGCCTTTAAGTCTTCCCTTTTCTTGTCTCTTAACGAGCTTGTCCTGAAACTGCTTTTGAAAGATAAACCAGATGAAACTCCAAGTTTCCAAGATTATGGGCCCTTGGCCTGAAATTTCCAGCTGAGTGGAAAGTCTCCATAACACAGCGCTATGATGTACACGGTTGTAGAAGAGACATGGCTGCGTTGAAGAAGACATCTGAATCTCAGAGGTGAAATAAGCCAGCCCCGCCACCTTGGACAGTTACCAGATTAATATTAATTGCTGTAATCAACTTGTTCGGGCAGTTGAGATGTGTATGGATGGTTGAAATGGCTAAAAGAACAACCTCCCAAGCTATGTCTATGGCTTCATAGCCAGAGAAGAATAACAAGCAAACAAAATAAGAAGTGAAAAGATCCTATCTTTCTCGAACTAAAGTCAACTGCAACACCAGAGGGAGATCTTAAAGGTATATTGTCTTCTTCACTTTGCCCCTCATGCTACTGACCACTTGATTCCTACCGCTTAATGGACCATTTCAGGTACTGAGTAGTCATAAGTAATGGAACAGTGACTGCCCCTCCCTTTGCATAGAGTGGGCAGCAGGTCTAGTAGGTAGATGTTACCTACATTAAAATCTAGTACATTTAATCAATGGAGTGTCCAATTTTCAAGTAAAAGGATCTGTGTCCTCCTCCAAAATTTTCCCCTCAAACTCAACTGCTGACCAGATCCCCCTTTAGCTAAGCCCCCCGCAGCTGTAAGAAAAGCAATGAGCACATATTTTTTTAATTTGTCCATGGAAATTGTTGTGGAAGGGGGCCACACAGCCCATCCTGGGTGGGGGGGTGTCTTAAAATGTATTCCCCACTAGGATTGTGTGGTCAGTAGAGCACACAGGGACACTATAGAAGTTAACTTTGAGAACAAGTTAACACTTTCAGGCTCACAAATTACGTCTTGGTAACAACAAATAAAAACTAAGTAGAGTGACTCAATAATTCAGCCTCATTGGAAATTCTTTCTGGTTAAATTTTAAGGTGATTAGTTGAATGTTTTTAGATCTAACAAGACTAAACGACCTCTTTCAAATCCTTAAGACTGGTATGTCAACGCGCACGCACACATGCACACAAAACAAGGTAGCATTTGCCATTCCAAACACAAGGATGCCAGGTCCAGCCCACTCTTTGTGGGTAGTGCGGGGAGGTGTCTCAAGGCACTCTAACCTGGAAGAGTCTGCAGTCTCTGGCTTTACAGGCTGTCTTTCCTACTAGGGCTGGATAAAAGCTGACGAGCATGCAAAGCTCCTTTTCTAGACCCGACAACCGATTTGGTTAACACACTACACCTTCAGTCAAATTACAGTGCTATCCAGCATGATTTATTCAGTAACATATTTCTAGTTATAATTTCACCTTAGCCATACTTGCCTGAGACTACACCCAGTCATGTAAATTAGACTGGGGGGGGGTTCCATCAATCTCTGCCACCCTTTGTGACTATTCTGGGGGAGGGTCACATCCACAGAGGCTCAAAACAACCACTCTATTATTCCTAATTTTTACTCTTAATAAAAGACTTTATTTTGATGTTCTGGGAATGTCTTAATATACTGTTTGGACTAGGAATGTCTTAATATACCATTTATACTAAGAAGTTTCATTTGAAGCTCCAAGGCATCATACCCTCCAAAATGCCCTTCCTTCTGGATTGTGTGCTGGGCAGCACTTGCCTATATTGAGGGGGAAACAACT